ACGGCAAGCATAGCATATCATAGGCAACGCGGACACGTCATTTTAAACATATTCGATAAATTTTTTTTTATTTTTTTTCCTTTTCTTTTATTTTCTTTAGTCAGTTTTTGTTTTTGCGTGATATTGATGCGTCCAATGGCCCCTATGATGGGTTCTACCATCGTTTTCTTCCGTAAATTCATAGATTTTCTTTCTCTCTCTCTCCTTTGATTTCAGTATATATATATGTACAATCTCTTAGAATATGTTAAATAGAAGTTAACGACAGGCAGGCAAGCAAGCTAATCATTTCGGTTTTATATTTCAATTCGTTTTATATCCGGAACTTTCACCGTCAACATCAGCTTAATATAAAAATAAAATTTCAAAAATTTCAGTTTATATACAAAACATATAATCAACTTAAGCAAAAATTATATATTTGCAAGAGATATCATCGCTAAGCCCGAATCCAATAAATGAAATGACGCCACGCCAATCAAAATCGGGTTTTTGACAGAGTTCGTACTTCATGTAAATGAACTTTTTTTTAGAATGACTTGGGGGGGTGGGGGGAAATACATAATATTTATATATGGGATTGTTGAAAAAGTCATAACAAATTCAAGCAATGAATGATTACATTTCAAGCATAAATTCATCATCATTTATTGTTGTTGTTGTATCGTATTACCAAGCATAATGATTGGGTATGAAAACGCGACTCTTCGCGAAGAAACTAAAAAATTAATCAGAATGAATTTAAATTTGTTCTCGTCTTGTAATGCTTTCACAGTAATTCAGAGAATGTCGAAGCGTCTTAACAACAATTCTCTTTAAGTGCCTTTGCTTTGGTTTTTTGTCAGAAGCTTTCCTGTGAGCATCAAAGTGGATTAAATGGCCACATGATGCCAAGCGAAAGCTATACTGACGCTTCCATTCCGGCGAAAAGATGTGGTCCACAGAGTCTGAAAACTCAAACATGAACTACTTTATTATGGACATTGAATTCGATCATAGATAAATGAAACTAAAAACAAACCCAAATATTTCTTTCATGAAACGACAGATGAGAGCGATGACGCCAACTATTTAGTCCTGCTCCCCACAATTTTTCCGTTTATTTCGCATGAAAAGCCGAGTACGTGAGAGACACGACTACCAAATCTGCATTCGCGTGTTGAACTCTTAAACTTACTTTGGTTGCAACTATAGCGAGTGCCCAGCCAGTAAGGAGATAAAACTTACCGATTTGGCATACACCCACTATACTGCGATTACTGCTTGCCTTTATCTTTCTCTTTGCTCACTTCTTACCGACCGTCACCCCATTAGACGAAGAGGAGATATTCCGTGAGTCCTTTGATTGTTCGATATCAAATAAAACAAATAAAAATGCTTCTATCCTTCATCCTTGGCCACAGGGACAATACACTGAGTTATTGGCGCCCCTTTTGCTAGCTAACAATTATTTGAGTACACGAGTATTGCACTTCCTTAGCATACGTTTTGTCTACAGTTGATGCATGTTTTCATCAAATTCATTTACCCCCCCAATCCTCTTTTCGTTTTAACACTCAAAAAGAAGCTTCAGAGACCCCATAAAAGTATAGATATTCTTGATCACCGTGAAATTCTGAGTTAATTTAGCCATGTCTGTCCGACAGCATGTCACTGTGTGGTATCGACTTTAAATTTGTTAAAAATATTGGAAGTTTTTGCACGCAGGTTGGTAGACTCCTCAACAGAAGATATTTTCTCTGCCTAAAAATGGGTTAATTTTAAAATGAATATCGTAGACAGCGGGATATGGGTATCAAATGAAAGAGCTTGGAGTGTAGAATGCGAAAATCATTGGGATGGGTATGCGAGATTCGGTCCGCGCCGATTATAACTTTCTTACTTGTTTTAACTAAATTTGTTATTTATTGCAATCAATGAAACATTTATTGCACTTAATAACATGTGCTATATAAATGATTTCTAGTTAAATAACTAATGTTATCTTTAAACACACATGCACGCACATACTGATAGAAAGATAGATAGAGTGACA